TCCGGTCACATGGGCAGCAAGCCACTCCCATCCAGTCACATGGGCGGCAAGCCACTCCCACAAAGGAGGCCACACCCACAGAGTAGGTTTGAACAGTTTTTGAAACCCACCACTGAAGTGGACCTAGATGTGGAAATATGCATAAAGTTCCTGGGTCAGAATATTAAGAAGTATAATTTCTCAGGTATGGAAATCCATCGTTATTTTATGATCGTAAGCCTACAGCGCTGCTGCAAAAGTCACAGTGAATCTTGTTAATTGAATAGACTTCCCTTAAACCTAAAATAATGTAATTTGAACATTTCTACATCTGAAAAGTGAATTCACGGGCAACATTGTTATTTGTTAGGTTTAAAGCTTTGTCATTTGTAGTGTTTCTCTTTAAAATATCTGAAAGTTGTTTCTCTGCCTTATCTCACAGCTCTGATTCTTGATCTAGTTTTGGTGGCAGCAGTAAAAGGACTGGTGAAACGAAGACGCCCAGTCCACAACAAGATGGATATGTTTGCCACTCTCTCTGTGGATAAATATTCCTTTCCTTCAGGCCATGCGACCAGAGCCGCCATGGTGTGCAGATTTATACTACATCATCTCGTACTTGCAATCCCTCTGAGAGTGCTGGTTGTACTTTGGACCTTCATAGTGGGAATCTCTAGGGTGATGCTCGGCAGACATAATGTAACAGATGTGGTCTTTGGGCTAAGCATGGGCTACATGCAATATAATTTGGTGGAATATTTCTGGTTGTCACCTGTAAATGCTCCTGTCCTCTTTGTCTTGTGGAACTGATGGTTCTTGAGGGAAGAGGAACATTTGTCTTAGTGTAAACATTTGTGATACTTCATCTGATCATCAAAATTAAATGAATAGAGCCAAGATTTTCACAATATGTGCGATCTAACATAAAGTTTGCTCTGGAAGGCTTGATTCAGAAAAATAAAGGCTTACCAGCCAGCAGATTCTCTTGCATGATTTTATGCAGTATTGAGGACATTGATACATAAAATGTATTTTAAAAAATGGACCAATAAATGTAAGTTGGAGCATGCCATTTAGGCGGATTATTAATTGTCGAATCTTCTCACTTATGCTACACGTTGTTTAATCGTGATTTGTGGGTTTATTCCTTGGCTGGACTATGAATCAACACATAAAACAACACAAACCTATACTTTGGGATGACAGAACATTAAAACTGCTTTTGAACAGATCAGCCACTCGTGTCCCCTTATTTTTACAGGATTTGTGATTAGGCTAGAAATAATTGCGTGAATTAGTAAAATGAGTCTGCTTGTAGCACAATAAGACACAAAAATAATGACATAAAATGATAAACGCTATTGTCAAACTGATTCCATAAATGGTATGTATTCCAATTAGCACTGATAGTTTTTGATATTCAAATAATAGCATTTATTGTAATTTTAGCTATTCTGACATATAAGTTGATTAGTTCTTTTCTGCAGAGTTTAAAATTTTGCTTTATAAATCATATCAATTTTGTAATATATAGTCATGTGAAAAAGAAAGTGTGCCCTCTTTGAGTTCTATGGTTTTACCTATCAGGACATTGTAAAAATCCTGTAAAACACAGTAGACATCACAGTAAAACACCATGTCATTATTTTTTTACAAAGAGAAAGCCAATATGGAGAAGCCATGTGTGAAACACTAAGTATTTGTATTTAATGGATTTATAGGCCGCCCAATCCCGGAGGACTCCGGGCGGCTTACAGAAAAGAAGTAAATTATAAAAAATAAAGAATTAAAAAGACAAAGAAAACAGAATTAAAAACCTCCCCATGCACCCAATCTAGTCGGGGCTGGACCTCAGTAATGAGGTCAACAGCCCCCGGCCTACCAGAATAGCCAGGTTTTGACAGCCTTTCGGAAGGCCATGAGAGAGGGCAGGATCCGGATCTCAGGGGGTAGTTCATTCCATAGGGTCAGAGCGGCTACAGAGAAGGCCCTCTTCCGGGGAGCCGCCAGCCGACATTGCCTGAAGAAGACCTGCCCTGTGCGATCTTACCAGCCGTTGGCACCTGAAGAAGACCCGCCCTGTGTGATCTTACCGGCCGTTGGGAGGTATGTGGCAGTAGGCAGTCTTGCAGGTACACCTTGTAAATGAATAGCATGTAGCACCAATAACTTGAAGTATTATTTTTCTGCATGATTTGGTGTCTCACATCATTGTGGAGGAATTTTGGCCCATTCTTCTTTATAACATTGCTTCAGTTCATTGAGGTTCTTGGCATTTGTTTATCTCTTTAGGTCTTGCCACAGCATTTCAATTGGGTTGAGTCTGGACTTTGGCTGGACCATTGCTACAGCTTGAGTCTTTTCTTTTTTTAGCCATTCTGTTGTACATTTGCTTGTGCATTTGGGATCTGTTGTGGCCCGCCAGCAGATCTGGCAGCAGATTTGGACAGTGAGGAGGTTGTGGAGGAACATGGGCCAGTCCTGGAGTCTGGGGAAGGCTCGGATGAGTGCTATGCGTTGGAGACAGAGATAGGGCCAGGGCTGTCTGACAGTTATCAGCTGCCTTCAGAGTGGGACATTAGCGGGGCAGAAGAACAGCTGGAGTCTGTTTCCAGTGTGCACATGGGCAGATCTGCCAGGAGAAGGAAACAGCTAAGGAACAAGAGTCGACTCGGGAGTATAGCCACAGTGGTGGCTATACTGAATGGCCCCTCCCATAGGGAATAAAGAGGAGCGAAATGAGAGACAATTAGTTCAATTCATTAGAGTGGTGACATGTTCCTGATTTCTTGCCAAGTATTGTATGCTACAGAGTGGTGTTTGGAATATATCAGCCTAGCAGCTCTCCAAGCCTGATAAAAGTCTGTAGTTGTGAAATCTCTTGAAAGACTGTTGGCCAGGACTTTGTTGGAGAGGAATTCACTTTAGGCTAAATGAAAGGGGGTTTATCGGTACGAGGAGTAGGCTTCGTGTTTTTGGGAAGCCTAGGTCAGAACAGGATCATTGTCCTGTTGCATGGCCCAATACCAGCCAAGCTTTAGCTATTTGACATTTGACTCTAGAACAGTCAAATCTTTGTGGCTCGGCGGCTGGCTGAGGGGGGAAGAGGGGAATGGGGCTGTGCAAGTGGTGAGCTAGCATGTGTACTTGCAGCTCCATCCACGTGAGAGAGAAGCCTTTGGGGTGTGGTTTCACACTCCTTCAAGCTTCTCCGTGCGGAAAACTTTTGCAAAAGGATGGAAGGCCTGAAGCAATGTGAGATTGCTCCCCTGAAGCCTTTGGTCCATTTATAAAAGCTTTTGGTGCAGAGAAGAGAAGCTTTTCAGTCTGTTGTCTCGTGCTCCTTCAGACTCACTGAAGCTGTCAGACGTTCCAAAAGTGAATTGAGTATCCTGCACAGGCAGCCTTGGTAAGTCCCACACAGTCTCTGCTCTTACCCCTCTGGTTTTGGAGCATCGGAAACAGGTGGCTTGGCTGGGGTGGTGATGGGGAGAGGTGAAATTGGTGAGTCCCCACACAGTCTCTGCTTTTACCCCTCCAGTTTTGGAGCATAGGAAGCAGGTGGCTTGGCTGGGGGGTGATGGGGGAGAGGGGAAATTGGTCACATGAGCAGCAGGCCAAAGCTCACACATGTGTGCACAGCTCCACTCATGCAAGAAAGAAGAGAATCGGTTGGGGCACCACATGCGTAAGTGGAGCTGCATGCATGCACCACCCTGCCTCTCACACAGCCCAGTTCTGAATAGATCATGGTCTGATGTGCTGCAGCCTGGGGGTTGGGAACCCCTACTTTGCGATACTTCAGTATACAAAAGAGTTCAGGGTGGATTCAATGACTGCAAGGTGGCCGGGTCTTGTAGTTGTAAAACAAGCCCAATAACACACACCGCCAACAACCGTGCTTGACAGTTGATATGAGATATTTCTGCTGATTTGTGTATTTGGTTTTTGCCAAATGTGGTACTGTGCATTATGGCCAATTTTCTTCACTTAGGTCTCATCTATCCAAGCAATGTTCCAGAAATCTCTTTTTTTTTTAAGTTTTAAAAAGTTTTTATTAAATATAAAAAAATTCAATATCTATATAAACAGTGTGTTGTCTGATGGCTGAGGAACAAGCATGAGCCATGATAGAGGCTTCCCTCCTCCTCCTCTTTCTCCTCCTCCTCCCCTCATTCTCCTCTTGGAATCCACTGACTGGCTGTGGTGGGGCTGGCAGGGTGTGCACAAGCTGAGACACCCTTCTCAAGTGAGCAGCCACCCATCTCGCATGCACCTTTGCTGCACTTTGGCCGAGCCCATCTGCTTGCTTGAGGGTATGCCTGCTCATATGCACCCTCCCAGCCCCACCACAGCTGGCCAGGAGGTCGCAAGAGGAGGAGGAGGGGAGGGGGGTCACCCAAAGGGAAACCTCCACTGCAGCTCACACTTGTTCCTCAGTTAGCCCAGATTTCCAAAAAGTTGCCAAGAAGAAAGGAGTAGCAAAAAGTACCAAGAAGAGCTTGCCCAGCCTTAGCTTTCTGAGAGAGGGAGAAGAGAGAGGGGGGGGAGATATATACAGAGAGAGAGAGAGACAAAGAGGCATACACACAGAGAGAGACAGACACACAGAGGGGGAGAGAGATACAGAGAGAGGGAGTGATAGAGGGGGTGAGAGACATAGAGAGATACAGTGCGGAGAGAGCAGTGTTGTGGTTCCCGATATTTTTTTAACAACCAGTTCTCTGTTCTAATGACCAGCTGGGTAGGCATGAGTGATGTCGAATTGGCCACTCCCACCCAGGTTTTGTGGCTCCCATGTTTTTTTTTCCTGTGGGAAATTGATCCAAATAGCTCTTTGAATGTTTAAGGTTGCAGACCCCTGTTCTGACATGAACATTTTTACAAACGGGTCCTGGTTTACCTGGATGACATTTTGATATACACAGAAACAAAAGCAGAGCAGGGTCCAAGTGGTCCTAAACAAACTCCACTCTGCAAAACTGTATGCAAAATTTTCCAAATGTGAAGTTCACCAGGAAAAAATTTACTATCTAGGATACTGCATTTCTCATGAGGGCATAGAAATAGACCCACAAAAAGTACAGGCTGTCGTCAACTGGGAAACACCCTGCATCTGCAAACAGCTGCAAATTTTTTTAGGTTTTGCCAATTTCTATCAACAATCCATTCCAGCTTTTGCAAAGCTCTAGGAGCACTCTCTATGGTGGGCCAGCTGCCGGATAGAGAGTCTTCTGGACAGAGAATCTTCCAGCAGCCGGCCCACCATAGAGAGCACTCCTAGAGCAGGCGATGCTGAAAGACTCAGCCCCCAGTTTTGGACTTTAGAAGTTATGCTCGGAGCGTGGCGGCGGCCAGTGGTGGTGCCCTGGGAGAGCTGAGCAAGGGCGGCTGCTTGTGAGCGTGGTCACCTCATGGCTGCTTTGCCCCTGAGGCTGTGCACAGCTCTTCGGGAGCCCGCTCGCAAGGGAGCAGCTGTCCCGGCAACTTCGCCCTTCCAGCCAGGCAGAGCACCCCTCACCGACCTAGCGGTATCCCGAAGGCAGCAAGCAACGTGAGCGCCTTTCCCCCCTTCCCGGCTCCCGCGGCTTGGTGCCTTCGAAATACTGCTAGGTCGGTGAGGGGTGCTCTGTCTGGCCGGACGGGGGGTTGTCCAGGGGGTTTATTTTTGGGAGTGGTCTTATATTTTTGCCCACACGAAAAATGTGGCAAGTTTTAGTTTCAGGACAGGTCGTATTTTGGGGGAAACACGGTATCACTCAACAGGCCTTTTGCCAATAACAGCCAAAGTCACAAAAAATCTCATAATTGTCCTTTACACAAAACCTATCCAAACACAATTCTCTTAATCTACAAAATCGCCACGTTAGGAAGAAGGTTAGGGTTATATGTGACTTGGGAAAGGGCAATTTCAGTCTTAGGTGTTCCACAAAACCACCTCTTCTTTGCAACATATAATGTCCACAATCCCAGGACCAATACAGCACTACAGAGAACTCACTCACAGGTTTTCTCAAACATATGTCTCCAGGGGTTTTGGAATGCTCTCTGTCACAATCAATGATTT